AATCCTCTCCAGGCTGTGGTCATCCCTGCTGGTTGTGCACTTTTTCTTCCACACTTTTCCCTTCCACATAACTTTCTATGAATGTGCTTTGATACAGCACTTTGGGAACATCCAACTTCTTTTGCAATTACCTTTTGAGGCTTTCCCTCCTTATGGAGGGTGTCAATGATGGTTTTCTGCACAACTGTCAGGTCAGCAGTCTTTCCCATGATTGTGATTCCTACTGAACCAGACTGAGAGACCTTTTAAAGGCTCAGGAACCCTTTGCAGGTGTTATGGCTTAATTAGTTGATTAGAGTGGGACACTTTGAGCCGAGAATATTGCTCCTTTTCACAATATTCTAATTTTCTGAGATTCTGGATTTGGTTTTCATGAGCTGTAAGCCATAATCATCACAATTATGACAAATCAAGGCTTGAACTATCTTGCTTTGCATGTAATGAGTCTATCTCATATATTAGTTTAACCTTTTAAGTTGCATTACTGAAATAAATGAACTTTTGCACAATATTCTAATTTTTTGAGTTTCACCTGTATATTCCACATGTGACTTGAACAGTGATCACCCTTAAAAATCCTCCACCAGCTAGCGTACATACTGACCTCCCATTTTGACCTATAGGGAATACAGGCGTACCTCAGTTTACAAATGTAATTCATTCTGCGGGATTTTTTGTATTGGGAAAAATTTGTAAACCGAAATGCAGTTTCCTATAGGAATGCATTGGAAACCAATTAATGCTTTCCGGAGGTCAGAAAAAGTTAAAAAAAAAAGTCTTTTATCTGTTCAAAACTCTTTAAAAATAAAGTTCACTTTAAAGGCATAAATACTGTACAGGGACATGATTAAAATAATTTGTAAATGCGTTGAAAACCAATTAATCAGTTCCAGAGGTCAGAAAAAAATCATAAAAAGTCTTATCTGTTCAAAACTCTTTATACGGTGCACGTTAAATGCATAGTACTGTACAGGGACTTGATTAAAAAACAATTTGTAAATGCATTGAAAACCAATTAATCCGTTCGCATTGCGAAAAATATTCGTAAACCGAGCCATTATTTTCAATAGATTTTCATTCGTAAACCGAATATTACGTTAACCGAGGCGTTCGTAGACCAAGGTACGCCAGTATAGGTCAATGGCACTTTAATATCAACCCGAAATCCAACCAGCTCTCCTCTGTAAGCGTACTTTACTGGCTCCTTCTCCAATTCCTCATCAGAAATCCATGTTCAAAAAAGCATCATAGGACATCTCATAGTGTAATACGTCCATGAACTAATGGCACCCGCCCGTGAGTCCGCAATTCTCTGTGCAGGTGGTGTGACTGCACAGATTTTCATGCGGATCCGTAGCGGCACCACCCGCATAGATGTGAACCAGGGGTAAATGTTAGTATCCAGTTACATTCTGTCTATCTAGGAAAGAATCCAGGCCTTTTTTAAAGCAATCATGCTTTTATGTACTGTATGCTGTATAGCCAACAGGAATTGCAAATGGAAGGTTGTCATAAAATGTTACATATGATAGGTTAAATTACAGGTTATTTTTGTGATTAGCAGCCAGATATATGTAAGATACACCAAAATCTTTGTTGCCCAGTGTTTTTTCCATATTATGCATATCCTGCATTGCCCAGGTATACTCTACCGTAACCATAAACTAGGTGAGCCTGTGCTTTGTCTCCCCAACTACACTCCATTCCTATTTTCTACTCGGGGGACTTTCCCCACCCTTGTGTGATAATCTGGGGCCAATCACCAAGCACCCCTGATGTCACATGGGGTGAATCATTTAAAGTGATCATTTCATCATTTAAAAAAATAAAGAAAAACAAAGATGTGTAGGAATTTTATGGTCTCTTTTGTCATAAATGCTTCTCTCTTGCTGTCAACATTATTGCATCCTGAGCCACACATTGGCACTTGAGCACACAGTTACGGTACCACTCTGTGCCGTCATGCTGTAACTCGTGTGTATACTCACTGTACCCAGTCCCAAACATGGTTCCTCTTCTAGGCTGAAGATCAGACTGGATTTTCTATGAGCCTAGGCTATCAATAACATGCTCCCCCGGGTTTATCATCAACCAACCAGGGATCACAATACTCCTCCTCTGCAAGAAACACCCTATCATAATCCTCAACACAACGTAACCCCTAAAGATCCGTATTTATCTTGGTCAACAAAAGTATCAGGTGATCCTGTGCCCAGGTCATCATTGAAATTTCCTTTTTTTGTACTGAGATATATTGTGGGCCTTCTGATTTGTAAAAATGTGAATAAACCTTATTAAATCTTTGTAATGCCAATGAAATGTGTTGGCCTTGGACCCTTTGTTTCTTGGGTAATTTTTACAATAAAGCATTGTTGCACAAATGCCAGGAGCATGAGAAGTGACTTGATGTCATTTCTTTAGCCAAAGGAACAGAGTCACAAGGTATTCTGCTGAGAGCAAGATAAATCCTTGTTTATGGAAGGAACCGTGTTTATGACAACTAGTAACCTCACATTAGTAACCTCACATCTAGTAACCTCACATCTAGTAACCTCACTGGGCATTCTGACGCATGCACGACCCGTGCATCAGGTGAGGTGTGCGCGCGCGCGACGTGACCCTTGTATGGAACGTGGTGGGATTCCCACTATCATCATGAGCCCTTCATGTCCCTGCCTATCAGTGTGGCGCTATGATGCCGTGTTGTTTCAAGTGTACCCATGGTGTACACACATGTTTCCAGGCGGTGGCAGTTCATTTCTATATGGGCATATTAAAGTGGTGCATCCACCATCAGGGTTACATCCTTGGAGGCGAGTACGCCCCTAGCATTTATTTATCATTTATTTTTTTATCTATCTATTTATCTATATATCATTTATTAATGTTCTACTATACACCATGTACCATGCATCTGTGTATTTATTTATTAATCTATTTATTATCATTTATAACATACAATATATGTACCATATATGGAAAAGAGTGTGCTATGCACACAGCACACTGATTGTTGTTTCTGGTTTTATGACAATATGTTTTGTTTTTTTTTGCCATTGGTCAGCTGGGTGGGAGGGTTGTATCCACCCTCCTTCTGACATTCCATTAGTATATAGGCTTGTGGCCAGCACCACTTATACTGCTTTTAATCACGTTGGTTTGTGAGTATATATCTTTTTATTCAATAAATGTGTTCTACCATGGTAATGCACGATGAGAGTGCGCCCTTGTCTGTTCTTTTCCACTAGTGGTTCAGATTTCCCGATCTTAGAAGGGCAGCACGTCTTCGGTTGGCATTTTGGCATCTCCTTGGTTGTATGAAGACTGGAGCGCTGGTTACGTTTGTTTATCTTTAGGAGATAAAAACCTGTTTAAGGACATCTAAGTTAGAAATCCTTAAGTCTGGGGGAGATGAAAAGAGGTTTTGGGGTAGATAAGAAGCAAAAGTGTGACTTTTCAAATAAAGAATATGGTGGTTGAACATGACTGTTATCCTAGTGGAACCCTTCTGCTAGCCCCTCCCGTAGTGGGTGTGGCACCGCCCACTATTGAACTGCTTCCAGAAAAAGGGTTTATAAGGCGAAGGTCCAGGCAAGACCAGTAGAAGCTCCCCTAGTGGCCAGAGGACGCTCTGACGCTGGGATTTTTACCAAGGCTATATGGGCTCATAAACTGGTCGCGCCTATGGCTTCTCCGTGACCCCCTGGGCAGTTTGGTTCCGATGGGATTTGTTCCTCCCAGCTTCCACATAGCTTCGGTAATGTATTAATTCTATGCTGTGACGCTGTCAAATGATGTGTCTATTTCATGCTGTAATGCTCACATTATTATTGGTGTGTGTTATTATGCGGATTGTGATGACTATAAGATATATCCTCCTGTGTGTCGTGTGATAATAAAAGTGGAGGTTTTGACAGTGCAAGAATATTGCAGCTGGATTCTGTTATTTCTTGGAGTGCCGGGTGAATGCTATGATGTGACAGGGCATGTATTCATTGGGTAGAGTGTCTTTCACAATGCATAGAACATGTAATGGTTTAACTGCTGATTAAAAGTACCTGCAGGACTGTATGTTGATTGTGTGCATGTATAGGACTTATTTTTAGTAATTGCACCCAGCATCACTATTACAGTCTTATATATGCAAACAAGATTCATAGAACCAAACAATTCCATCTTCTCTCATTCCAGAGCTGTCATGTTTTAGGAAAGCATATGTGAACAGAGAGCTGAATCAGCTTAAAATGTACCCTGGTCCAGCCTTAATGGAGTCATTTAGTGTTCATTCTTGTGAATGCTACAGGGATGCCTTGATTGTGGGATTTCAGATTCAAATTATTTCTTCCATGTGAAATGCTCCTCTGCTGATGAAAAACATTTTCTCTATTATGTCTATTACCTTAGAAACATATAAAACAAACTTATAGTCAGCATATATCAACTGCAAACAAGGACCCATTGTGTACAACCTTGTGTCCTTTCACTGGCATGTAAAGGTGCAGAGTTTGCACTGGAATGACATAAAGTAGAAATAAAAACAACACTTTTTTTCATTTTGAGTAGAGTAAATCTGGCCATATATGGACTGAAATCCATCCGGTTCAGCATGGTCTGGCAGAATTTCGATTCATGTATGGGAATGAAAGTTGCATAATCTATGGCCTGTGTCTCCTTGGTGAGTTTACCCTTCACTTCCTGTCCTATAGCCAAAGCAGGAAATGAGAGCAAATTCCTCCAAAGTGAAGGAAATCCTGGTTGTCACCTGGCGTACCAGAACTAGTGTCACCATTTGAAGGTATTCCTGTTCTGGTGACAAACATGTAACTAACTTTGTTTTTTTGTTTTAATTTCACACTCGGTGATAGTGGTAAACAATTGTGCGGTTTGTTAGTTCCAAATTACCAAATTACAATTAATTTACCGTATTTTTTGCTCCATAAGACGCACCTGACCATAAGACGCACCTAGGTTTTAGAGGCGAAAAACAAGAAAAAAAAATCACCAGAGACTGAACCAATGGACTGCAGACATAGTACAGGAGATGACCAGAGACTGCGGACACAGTACAGGAGATGACCAGAGACTGCGGACATAGTACAGGAGATCACCAGAGACCAGAGACTGTGGACATAGTACAGGAGATGACCAGAGACTGCGGACATACTACAGGAGATGACCAGAGACTGCGGACATACTACAGGAGATGACCAGAGACTGCGGACATACTACAGGAGATGACCAGAGACTGCGGACATACTACAGGAGATGACCAGAGACTGCGGACATAGTACAGGAGATGACCAGAAAATGCGGACACAGTACAGGAGATGACCAGAGACTGCGGACACAGTACAGGAGATGACCAGAGACTGCGGAAACAGTACAGGAGAGGACCAGAGACTGCGGACATAGTACAGGAGATGACCAGAGACTGCGGACATAGTACAGGAGAGGACCAGAGACTGCGGACATAGTACAGGAGAGGACCAGAGACTGCGGACATAGTAAAGGAGATGACCAGAGACTGCGGACACAGTACAGGAGATGACCAGAGACTGTGGACACAGTACAGGGATGGTCAGAGACTGCAGACAAACTAGAGGAGACAGTCAGAGACTGCGGACATAGTACAGGAGATGACCAGAGACTGCGGACATAGTACAGGAGATGACCAGAGACTGTGGACATAGTACAGGAGATGACCAGAGACTGTGGACATAGTACAGGAGATGACCAGAGACTGCGGACAAAGTACAGGAGATGACCAGAGACTGCGGACATAGTACAGGAGATGACCAGAGACTGCGGACATAGTACAGGAGATGACCGGAGACTGCGGACACAGTACAGGAGATGATCAGAGACTGCAGACACAGTACAGGAGATGACCGGAGACTGCGGACATAGTACAGGGAAAATACCAGGGACACAGTACAGATGACCAGAGACTGCAGACAGTGCAGTGGATGACCAGAGACTGCAGACAGTGCAGGGGATGACCAGAGACTGCAGACAGTGCAGGGGATGACCAGAGACTGCTGACCTTTGGGGAGGGAGGGGGAGCGGGTACCTGAATTTGACACCTCCCCACTTCCGCGGCGTTGTCTTTCCCTCTTCTTCCCGCGCCGGCTTCTGTGACAGCCGGGTGCCCACTGCGCATGCGCGAGAAGCGCTGCGCTTTGTGAATGGCCCGGCGCCTTCTGGGACCTGTCATGTGTCCCAGAAAACACTGGACCATTCACAAAGCGCAGCGCATGCGCAGTTGTCACCCGCCTGTCACAGAAGCCGGTGCGGGAAGACTGTGCAGCTCTGGAGCGAGGAACAGGTAAGGCCTTGCAGGAGAGAACAGCTGAGCGGCCGGCCCAGTATTCTGACATGGTGGCAACAGAAATACCGGACTGGCCGCTTTATATTCACTCCATAAGACGCACTGACATTTTCCCCCCTTTTTTGGGGGAAAAAAGTGCGTCTTATTGAGCGAAAAATACGGTAAATGAATCCAAAATAACAAAACAAAATATCCAAAAGTTGAATTCGAATTGAAAACAAAATTGTATTTCAAATTTGTTTTCAATTTCTAACATTTGACTCACCTCCATCAGATCATCCCCTACAGCTGTTACCTTTTGTACCACCTCCCCCTCCCTTTAGATTGTAAGCTCCATGAGCAGGGCCCTCCTTTTCCTTCTGTATCGAACGGTATTGTAATTGTACTGCCTCCCCTTATATTGTAAAGCGCTGTGTAAACTGTTGGTGCTATATAAATCCTGTATTATAATATTGCTGACTGTTGTTGATTTCCTTCAAAGACTACGTGTATTAGTGTTAGAATATAGCAGTCTTCTGAAATTTGAATTTCAAAAAGAATAAAAGAGACTAAAACAGAATAGAATAGAATGTAAAAGAATAGATAAAAAAAACAAAAGAACAGAACAGAAAATAAAGTAATAGAATAGAATAAAATAGAATAGAAAATAAAATAATAGAAAATAATAGAGTAAAACAGAATAGAATAGAAAATAACAGAATATAATAAAATAGAAGAGAAAATAAAGGAATATAATAAAATAGGAAATAAAGGAATAGAATAGAATATAAAAGAATAGTATAGCATAGAAAAGAATAGACTAGAAAAAATAGAATAGAATAATATATTAAGAATATAGGTGTCCGTTTATGACACAGAGAATAGCTGCGATTCAGAGGATCTCAGCTATTCTCTGGTCATTCACAGTCTATGACACTCAGGAGATCAGCGGAGAACATGTTCAGCCCTTCACTGGAGATCTGTGTTCTCCCTCCAGATTCTCCAGCCCAGAGCTGTAGAATCGGGGGGACCGCAAACTAAGCAGCGATAATTTACCTCTGCTTAATAAACTGATCTTTTACTGTAATCTCACGAGATTATAGTAAAAGCAGCCGGTTTCCAGCATTTGTAGACTGCTCTCCCTTCGTTCGGAGAACTGATCTACACCACTTCATAAAAGGCATTCGCAGGAGAACTGTGTTCTCCGAGGATTCCGGAGAATTGAGCACCACTGGTTCATAAGCGGACACCGCTGTCGTCTTATGAATTTCGAATACAATAAAACAAAACACAATAGAATAGAAAATAATAGAATAAAACAGAACAAAATAGAATAGAAAATAAAGAAATAAAATAATAAAATAGAATAGAGTAAAACAGAACAGAATAGAATAGAAAATAAAAGAATAGAATAAATGAAATACAAAATAAAGGAATAGAAAAGAAAATAATAGAATAGAAAAAAATAGGCTAGAAGAATAAAAAAGAATAGAATAGAAAAAAAAAAGAATATAGCCGCCAAAAGTGAATAAACGAAACAAATTTCATTACAAATGCAACTAAACGAAATTAGTAAATTAACAAATGAACATAAAGCGAAAACATTTTTTTGTTCTGCACATGTCTAGTAAACAAGACAAATAGTGAACCTCCCTAACAGGGACACAGACAGCAATAAAAACCTGACAGGGGTTCTAATCCCTCCCCACTCTACCCAAAACCAAAAAATTATTTGCTTTTAGTTATGCTTTAAGCACCAGACCTTGGTATAAATTGGGCCAGTGCGTGCTATAATTTGGCTTCACACCGATGTGTCGCACATTTGGGAGACGCAGGCGTACAACACACCCATAAGGTTCAGAGGTTTAACAATCAAACTCTGCTTTTGGCTCTGCAAGAGAGTAAAAACTGCATTGAGTAAGGTTGGCACTACTGGCGACAACATCCTTAGTGCCCGGTCATCCCAGTGTGATTTCAGGTGCCATTTGGGAATTGAAATCGCACCTGAAATCACATTAACACCCGGTCACATCAGGTGCGACTTGGCATGCGATTTGCATGCCATGCAACTTGCAAATCGTATGCCAAGTCGCACCCTATTGTTCTCATTTAAAGAGGTCAAATTGGTGCGGTTCCGACTTGGTCGGTGCTGCACCGATTTCTAAAGTTGTACATGTACTACTTTTGGTGAGATTTGCATAGACATCTGTGTCAGATATCTTGCAAATCACACCTGAAATCAGCATCTCACCCGACTTTGGAATCTTGCGACTTCACTGTAAGTCGCACAATTTCAAAGTCGGGCTTGATGTGACCGGGAGGTAATGAATGTAAATGTCAGTGTCCTAACATGTGCAATTTGCTGCAACACGATATCTAAAGTAGTTCTTGCATTTTTCTGCAGTTTTGTTGCGATTTAACATACATAGAATATAATGGAAATGGCACTGCAAATTGCAAGAAATCTTTGAAAATCTTCACATGTAGCCATAAAGTCATCAGAAATCGCACCTGAAATCGTGCTGAAATTACACACACAAATCGTGCGATTAAAAATGGCAGCGGTGTGACCGGTGACTTAGGTATTAATTCCCTTCACCTTGTAGAGACTTAAAATGTTACTAAACCCTGGACCCTGCATTCACTATATCCGGTCTCCCCGGACCCTGCATTCACTATATCCGCTCTCCCCGGACCCTGCATTCACTATATCTGGTCTCCCCGGACCCTGCATTCACTATATCCGGTCTCCCCCGGACCCTGCATTCACTATATATCTGGTCTCCCCGGACCCTGCATTCTCTATATCTGGTCTACCCGGACCCTGCATTCACTATATCTGGTCTCCCCGGACCCTACATTCACTATATCTGGTCTACCCGGACCCTGCATTCACTATATCCGCTCTCCCCAGCTCTCCCCAGACCCTGCATTCACTATATCCGCTCTCCCCAGACCCTGCATTCACTATATCCGCTCTCCCCAGACCCTGCATTCACTATATCCGCTCTCCCCGGACCCTGCATTCTCTATATCTGGTCTACCCGGACCCTGCATTCACTATATCCGCTCTCCCCAGACCCTGCATTCACACTATATCCGCTCTCCCCCAGACCCTGCATTCACTATATCCGCTCTCCCAGGACCCCGCATTCACTATATCCGCTCTCCCCGGACCCTGCATTCACTATATCCGCTCTCCCCCCTGGACCCTACATTCACTATATCTGGTCACACCCCGGACCCTGCATTCACTATATCCGGTCTCCCCGGACCCCGCATTCACTATATCCGGTCTCCCCCGGACCCCGCATTCACTATATCAGGTCTCCCCGGACCCTGCATTCACTATATCCGCTCTCCCCGGACCCTGCATTCACTATATCCGGTCTCCCCGGACCCTGCATTCACTATATCTGGTCTCCCCGGACCCTGCATTCACTATATCTGGTCTCCCAGGACCCCGCATTCACTATATCCGTTCTCCCCGGACCCTGCATTCACTATATCTGGTCTCCCAGGACCCTGCATTCACTATATCCGCTCTCCCCGGACCCTGCATTCACTATATCTGGTCTCCCACAGTACACACAGCATGGAAATGCAATTATTATAGTAAATATAAACTGCTAAATACCTTTTCTCATCAGCAGTTAGAGCAGTCTTGTATCTATCAGTGTCCAGCCAAGCACTGGTTAAAACTTGTAGGAGGAGTTTTAATTCTGCTCTAGGAGGATGCAGAACCCCTGACCTCTGTCTGGACAGTCCTGACTGACCCTGTGCTGATCACATGCACTCTCCCAAGAAAAAAAAACCTCTCTAGCAATACACACCAATCTGAGCATGTGCAGAGTGACTCCACACGATATGTCTTATCAGGAGATAAGAGGGGGACACTGACATAAGGGGGATCAGAGAAAACAGGTTCAAGGAGCTTTGCAAAGGATTAACCCCTTAGGTTCCACAGTGAGTATAACAAGCATGCTTTACTGCATATACAGACTGATTTTACTGTTGTGGGTTTAGTATCACTTTAAGTGAGTTGGATGGAGGAATTCCCCTGTGGGGACATTGTATTCTGACAGTGGGACTTGCATAGGAAACGTTTTCCAACATGCTTCTTCAACAAAAGTTGGGCAACTTCTGAGCAGTCTATGGCCAACTTTATTCTCACTTGCCGTTGCGCCTCCAGGACAAGAAGTGAAGGGAACTCTCCTCAGACAGCAAAAAATATACTGACAGGC